GTAACACAAGATTAAGCATTAATGAGGCAAGAATAAAATTGTTTATCTAAACCCCAATCTAAAATTAAACAGAAGTTTATGCTGAAAGCTCACACTGCACTCATTTTGTCTCCTAACATTAACAGAGCACAGCTTATTTAGTCTCTGAGATAAATCCCAACGGCATTTAATTTGGAGAGAAGGATTTTACTATCAGAAGAGAGAATATTTTTCCTGAAGAAGAGTGTGATGCATTTATAGTTCTTACGTGCATAAATACAGCACGTTGCAGGTATTTTGATCTAAGGAAAACAGTTGATTTTCATGACGTCTATTTACACTGCGTTTTAAAGCTAAATACAGAAGCATCCACCCAGAGGCAAGACCTTTCGATTGCACTCTGTCGTCTCTTGCTAAGCAGCCAAACCAAAAATGACACACGCCAAAGATACCTGTGTGCTCAACAGGGAAATTCAAAACAAAATTAGACCAAAGTCTGCATGCCTCCACAAAGACTCACTGTCCTCTTTTTAGACTTCTCACTAAGCAAGCAGCCCTACAAGGCTCACTAAGGAGCTTCAGCCTGCCAGAAAAAAGCCAAGCAGACAATTAGACCACGGTCACAGTCACTGTACCACAAACCTTCCCTGAAGAATGCCGCAGGAGTCATTCAAGAATCTCAGCACATTCAGAGAGGTGTCATCCCCAGTTTTAAGACTAGGTACAAGAGGTCAAAAGTACTTGGGCCTATTCCCATGAAAGACAGTGTTTCCAAAACCTCTATCCAATTGCAGCATATGCCATAGCTATCTAGTGATATCACATGATATTATTCTTAAACCTATATAAGGCTGCCCAAGGGACAATCACATACATCCCCCTCCATTTCTAGTGGCTAACTAACCGGCATCAGATGTTTGAGTTCCGCTGGTCAGACAACACATCGGACATAAAGCAGGCTGCAGGAACTCCAGCCAGAGGAAAACAAATCTCTCTCTTCTGGGACCACGGCCCTAAATAGTTCCAGCAAACTGAAACTGCACTGGAGCGTACAGAAGTGTTTCTGAGTGACCAGCGCAAGGCTAGGCTGAGCGGAACAGGACTCAGCTCTAAATCTGAGCGAGCTGACACCACGACTTGGCCTCCTCCTCCTCCTCCGGCTGGACATTATCGCTCTGCACAAGCTCACATTCGGTCCATGTTTCTATTCACCTTTTGCACGTCACTGACAGAGAGTTAAGCTATTTACAAGAACACAGTAAGTCAATCCCCGACCTTGTAGGCATTTAAAGTACATTTATCTCAGGCCTATCACAATGCTGGTGCTTCTAAAACTCTCAAATTCAAGTAGCTCAGTGTAATCACCTAAAGAATTCAGAGCAGGAGAATTCTGAATACTTTGAAAATCCCGTATTATCACAAACTTTTAGCAAATTAACCCAAAACGGGGGGGGGGGCAGAAATGACATTTAAAGCCAAATCAGAAAGAAAACTTGTTGCCAGCTGTGTACCTTGCATTCTCACAACATATGGATTTAAATGAAAGTTATTAATGAAAACTGTTCATGTCACAACAGGTGCCCTCCAAATGTATTTCTCGGCTTAGCATGCAGAAGAATCAAAAGCGCTGCTAAGCGTGACCCAAATGAGAGTAGGGTATTTCAACGGAGCCATCCAACTACAGCTATAACTGACTAAGAGAAAACTATTCAGGAGAAAGGGGAAAGATACACGGGAGCAGAGAAGATACATTTAAATCAGAGTTCAATGGAAACCCAAGGAAGTTTCAGAAGTTTTACTTAAGCTCAGCTACATGGAGGCACTTTTTCTCCAGAGCATCCCAAGATTAACACTTACTGATCCAGCCTTAAAACTACTGGTCTTCCTTGATCCGATTCAGCATTCCCATTTCAGCAGAGGGCCAGCTCAGGTAAGAGCTGATTTTAGTTCCTCTGTCTCTTGCTTATAGAAGCTTGAAGAGAATGCTACAGCTATTTACACTTGTGCCCACTGGGAATCACTCTTGGACATAAACTTTGAAATAAACTGGAAATTTGAAATAAACTGGAAGAGTGAAGACCTAAACAGACACACAGCTTTGATATGCAGTGAATATTTTCTTTCAAAAAGATTTTTTTCTTGCTGGTTATTCATTTAGAAGAAACAATTTTAAAAATGTTGAAAAACTACATTAAACTATGAAAAACTGTTAAAACACACATTGACAAATATGGGGTTTTCTTAGACGATATGGTACATTAACTGTGGAGAGAAAAAAATAGCAACGGGACAACTCAAATAGGACATTCCTTAACATGCTTGTGAAAGCTTAGTACAGTACGGCCTAATTCTCATCTCTCACCATGGCCACTTACACCCTCCAATATTATAAAAGAAATACAATGTCACATTCACCTCTATATTCTGACTTCCTGTACAGTAGCATCAGCTTGATTTAATATAAAATAGGCCTAGTCTCTACAATAATTTTGTATTCCTACTGTATTCCTTATCTTCCACTATTGCAATGTTCCAACCGCAGGGCTTAAGGAGATACTAGGATAAGTTCTCCCCCAGTGAAAGCAGCATAAATATAAGGGTCTAGAAAAGGCACGCATTATACAAGAAGCACGATAATAAGGAGATTTAACTTTAAGTGGGTTTTGCACTGGCTCCCCTCCCCACAGGCTTCAGTGACTGGTAAGGTGAACTTTAATAAATTAGAAACGCGCAGGATGTATTGACCTACAGCCTGGTTTCCATTTAGGGCAAGTCACTTCAAGAATGCCCCCCGACTCATTTTCAAGTAGCTTTTGCAGAACTTGGGAGTTGCCGTAGTGCTTTTGCGTCCATATAATAATTTTTGGAATTTCATCTCACGTTAATATGGTTGCTAAACAGGAAAATAAGGCCTTTTTTCTAGCATTTCTGGAATTGCTAGAGGGTTGCTTCACACTGCAGTAGAAAAATGGCAGGCAAAGTATCTGAAATTATTCTGCTGATGAAAAAATACAGACAAATTAATTCCACAGCCTTGTAATTTACATTATTCATTATTCCACTTTAAGGAGGAAAAGCAAAACTGGATAGTCAAATATTATTTACTGCAGCCTTTATTCTACATGTCTTACTATAGCAAAACTGTAAATTTTGTCTGAAAAACACTGGGAATTAAAAGAAAGCAGAAGTGAGACCTGTGGGCAAAAATAGGAAACACAGATTAAACAATCCGTTGTAGGTCAAAGGTTATTTGTAGATCAGTTACCACTCGGGGCTAAAAAAGCCTGCTCAAAACCACCAGCACACTGCTTCCCAGTTGCTCAAACTTAGTCTTCTCTATAGTAAAAATTTAGACCTAATGAAACAAAAATGTAACACTTGAAAAATGATAGCTTATGTAAAGTTGCCCACCACTTGCAAACTTGCCAAACTTCTACCAAAAGCCTCAGGCCCGATACCCAAGTTCAAATGTAGAAGTCAGGTAGTACAAACAGGGTCAGACACCTGCCCCCAACTCTCAGTTCTTCAGTTTTTCTTTTCCTTTCTCCTGCAAAGTGTTTTTCTCTATCACAAAGGGACATTTTGTATTTAAAAGCGTATTTCATAGTTGTTGTAATTCAAACTTGAGTACTTTCGCTTCTCAGTAACTTTACCATCAGCAGAATTCATTTCTAAAGTAAACACCAATTTCCTCTAAATACATTGCTAGGAGATATTCTGAAGAAAAGAAGGAAAGACTGCTTGAACTATGTGCTGGATTTGTTAGATGTTGCTAAGAAGGATACTATTTAGGCATTCCTTCTAAGCTGTCATCTTTCCAACACTGGGCCTCAAAAATCCTCCAGAAATGCCTCAAAATCCTACAGAATAGTAAAGCAAAGTCTACCTACACTTGATCGGTAATTAAGTTTTCCCATCATTCTCAACAGGAGAATCAGTGAACATATACACCAACTGAGGCACTCCAGGAATCATTTCATTCTCCCCTTTCTGTTTGACTTCTGCGGTGTTACTAACTAACTATCAATGAAAGATTGTGGTATCACAGCATCGTCTCACAAGAACATCTCAGAAGAGAATGGAAGTGTCCTATAGTAAGTGACAGGTTTTAAAACATTTTTACAGTCATGTTCTTCCCCACTGAACATCCAAATTCCACACACACAAAAGTCTGAACAACCAGTTACGGTTTAAATAAATATTTTCCAGATCACTAAGACATTGCTAGAAAATAGTCTAACCCAATTTTCATTGAGTTATCTCCCTTCTAAATTCAGAACAAACATGAAAACCGCTTTCCAAAACCACCCTCCCAGCAGTTAAACGACACCTGCAGAACAGAAACCGAAGCTTCTAGAGAAGCTTGGCAATTAGGACTAATGGAAAAGTAACTAGATTCCCAAGGCTTCCCAAACCCTCTTTCCTTTGAAGAAGTCAACCACTCCTCCCTGTCCATCTTCCCTCTAAGCACTTGCCAGGATTTTCAGTAGAATGACAGTTATGTAAGCTTTATGAAGTTCAGTAGAGTAATAAGCCACAGACCAAATCAGAAACTGAAGTTACACGCTTGCTGTCCACATGTTTCAGGAACATGAAGAGTTAAATATAACAACCGAATTCTGCAGGTCATAGGAGCAGGCACATACCTCAGTCTTCCAGATTCAATTAGATTTTGTTTTGTTTTAGGCTTTCTTTAATTACCCACTGCCATTTGAGCCCAACTGGGTGACATAAATGTATTATCCCATCATAATGTCAGAATTTAAAATTAGATTTGGTGTCCATAAATACACTTCGTCCAACCTTAGTGACTCCGTCCAGCAATGATGGCTATTTTATGTAACATCTTTCATACAGTAAGACATAAAAACTGCACGAAAAATTATAGCTACGTTTTCTGGATTTCTCTTCCATTTATCTGAAGAGAATTCAGTTCAGGGTGAAAAGGAAATAGTTTCGTAAGATCAAACACTGAAGCAGCAAGAGAAAAAGCAAATTACATAAAGTCCAAATGTACTTACAGTCTCCTTATTTGGAAGCAACTCCTTTCGGATCCTGAAGAAGTTCTTGCCGTACTGCCTCAACCCCTTAATAAAACGTTTCTGTGATAAAAGATAACAAAAATAGTATGTCAGCAGAAGGAAGAAAAAAAAAAAAAGGAAAAAAGAGATCTTGTTAATCAGCACAACAGCCAAACAATGTTCTTAGCTTAAGGACTGTCGATAGGAGAAAATGTATACCTATACACAGCAACTGAAAACAGACAGGGGAAAAAAGGCTTTGAAAAGATACCAAAAAATTCAAACCACATTCCCTTCCATGTCAAACTTCCAACATTTGAAGCTTAAAAAAAGTCAGTACCACAGTCAGTTCTTCTCCAAAACGACCGAAGTGTTCTGCTGCACGTCTCTTCTGAAGTCTGTTATTTTTCAACCAAGAAGCAGCAGGCGAAGGAAAATACGCAACGCTGATTTTCAGGGGAGAAAAGTGACTCTCCAGAGAAGGTGTCGCAGGGGTTAAAGAGTCCTTGCAGCCGCCAACCCTCCGGATTCACCCTTCCCGATTTTCCGAGGAATACCAGCCGACGGCTCC